GCTCTAATGCCACTGTTTGCCTTGGAATATAGTTGTGTCTAAACTGTTATTGGAGCAAATGCCTTGCCCACACGCGTTCTGTAGCTATCCAGGAATGGGCATCAGCCGGCCTATGTCATGTGCACGCATTGCATGGGCTGCCTTCGGAGCAGTTTGTGCGTTGCACTTAAAAGAGGCCGGAGAGCTAAGCTTGTCGATTGATGCCTAGGTCAGCGTACACGGAGTGTGTCTATGGGGGGCCTTGAGCCTTCCCACGAAGCGCGCGACAAAAGTGAACGAGCAGAGTGGTAGGGACAGTCGTTAATGCGACGTGTTTCTGGGGGATTTCATCGGTTAGGTCATCCGTCGGTCATCGCCTTGTGTATGCAAATTGCTTTTGGAGTCGGTATAGGCGTTCCCGTTTCGGAGCAGCTTTGTTGAGTTATAGCTCCTCGCTTAGCGGAAAAATTGGTAGGCCTGCGGTGGCCGGTTGTTCGCTCGCAAGCGGTTCGGTGTGCAGAGGCGTCCCCAGCAATGAAGCTGGTTAAGCATAGCGTGCAATGGCTCTGTTGCTGATGCCTGCATGCGGAAAGAGGGGGCAAGAAGATGCTTTCAAACAACTGGCACGTGCACATCAGGGGGAGGCAGCAAGCGCACATGTGCCAGCGTTGTCAATCGTACACGCCACTGAAGTTGCGAACAAGCAGCAGGTTTGCAGGCGTTGCAGTGGAAGCGTCGTTTGGCCTCCTCAAGCGCGCGGGCCTCCACGCAGACAAACATCGAGCAGACAGGGCTTCTGTAAGCATCTCCGCGAAGCATGTGTATCCAGGCTGCATGCATTGGTTTGACACTTGTGATTTAGGTATTGCTAGGGTTGTTGCAGGCTTGAACCTCCCCTTCAGGTGTCCACTCTGCGACATTTTTGTGTGGCATCGTTTATCCCCAGAAGCGCGTACGTGCCTGCCAGCACGTCTGCAGATTGCGACGAAGGGCCATGCCTATTTGGCACTGAATTGTCGCACAGGAACGTGTAGTTGGAGGGAAGGAACGGTTCGGTAAAAACGTTCAGACATCGCAACTCTCGAACCTACGGGTGATGGCTTTGCGTTGAATTTGGAGAGAGGCAATGGTACAAACGCACTTACTATCGCAGTCTACGCTCTCGCCACGTGAGTATACCGCGCCATTTCTATGTTGCATGGTTTGACGCCAGGAGCAAGTACTTGATTTCCAACACGTCTGTTGAATGGGGTGAGAGGCTATGCATATTGGGGACTGGGTGGTTGCACATGGATTTGGATGGAAAGAGCGGTTTGGTGAGAACGTTCTGATAGTGCACCACTGGCGACTAGGGGTGATGGATTTGCATCGCAATTGCAGAGTGGCTGTGGTGCGAAAGCGGTCTACCTTTGTCTTGAGGTGCCTTTCCCGCGAGGTTTCTGTGTTGGATTGTAGCATGGTTTGGGTTCAGAAGCAAGTGCGTGATTTGCAAGCAGAAGCAAGTAGGTGATTTGCAAGACGTCTGTAGAATGGGTTTCTGTGTTGCATGGTTTGGGTTCAGAAGCATGTGCGTGATTTCCAAGACGTCTGTAGAATGGGGTGAGAGGCTATGCATATTGGGGACTGGGTTGCCGCACATGGATTTGGATGGAAAGATCGGTTTGGTGAGAATGTTCTGATAGTGCACCACTGGCGACTTAGGGGTGTTGGCTTTGCGTTGCATTTGGAGAGTGGCTGTGGTGCGAAGGCGGTCACCTTGGTCTTGAGGTGCTCATCCCGCAACGTTTCTGTGTAGCATGGTTTGGGTTCAGAAGAAAGTAGGTGATTTCCAGATTTCCAACAATTCTGTAGAATGGGGTGAGAGTGCATGGTTTGGGTTCAGGAGCAAGTGCGTGATTTGCAAGAACTCTGTAGAATGGGGTGAGAGGCTATGCATATTGGGGACTGGGTTGCCGCACATGGATTTGGATGGAAAGATCGGTTTGGTGGGAACGTTCTGATAGTGGTGGTGACCGCTGATCCCCACAACCGAAACGCAACCATTTGGAGAGTGGCTGTTGTGCGAAGGCGGTCTACCATTGTCTTCAGGTGCTCATGCCGGGACGTTTCAGTGTAGCTTGGTTTGGGTTCAGGAGCAAGTGCGTGATTTCCACGAAGTCTGTAGAATGGGGTGAGAGGCTATGCATATTGGGGACTGGGTTGTTGCACATGGAGTTGGATGGAAAGATCGGTTTGGTGAGAACGTTCTGATAGTGCACCACTGACGACTAGGAGGGTAGGCTTTGCGTTGCATTTGGAGAGTGGCTGTGGTGCGAAGGCGGTGTACCTTTGCCTCCAGGTGCCTATTCTGCGACGTTTAAGTGTTGCATGGTTTGGGTTCAGGAGCAACTACGCGATTTTCAACAATGCTGTACAAAGCGTTGTGAAAGCAGGCATGCGTCTGACTGGGGCAGCTGACGGGGTGTGTATTTGCATGCAAGCAGCAGTGTCAA